CCCCCCCCCCAAACTGTGAAATATTTTCAGGTAAAAAGTGCGTAATATTTGAATATACAGTCAATATACATCCAATTTGTTTGCAAATTTGCTTTAAAAAACCCCGCCAGAATTGCAACCCTAGAGCTTCAAATATGGAACAATTTTCTGGGGGAGGACCCCCTAACTGCCGTTTTCTCCCGAAACTTAGTATGACAGTGCAAGTTAATCACAAAAGTGGTACGGGTACCAATTTTATCCGTGCCGTACCAAAAAGTGAGAGCGTAGTGTAAACGGGGCTTAAGTATGCTCACCAACAAATTTTGTTTTTAAACTTCTTTTCAATGTTAATTTAAACTCATTTACTCAATACAGGTCATAGGGCCCTGGCTTTGAGGCAATAGGTCATTTTTTTTCTTCAGTGGTGGGGCAGAGGTAGGGGCCCAGTGGGGCAAATGTCCCACCAGTCCATGGTATTAAAAAATGCCTTGCAAAAAGCTTTATTATAATTATTACACTTTAGATAAATATTTATTAAAAATTCAAATTTCAGGTAAAATCCTCCGACAATCCCCCCCCCCCCAACTTCAGATGCTTTGCTACGTTCCTGTAGACTGACGTGTACAATAGTCGAAAAACTCAAAAAAAATTCCCTAAGGGATTTTTAAAATGGCCGAAAAAAGACAAATTTTGAGCCTTATCCTAAGCACGCTGTTGCCATGGTAGCGGACTTTCAGCACAAAAGTAGCACATTGCAATGTTCAGGAGAGCATTGTCAATGTGTCCAATAAATTTCGTCTTCATGTTATGTAAAGTGAAGAAACAGGCGTTTTCTAGATACTATAGTGCAGTATAATCATAGAAATAATAGATATTATTTCTAAGTATAATCATAGAAATAATAGATTATCTGTTTTTAATAGATAATCTATTATTTCTGTGAGTATAATGCAATAACCTTAGGGGGGCACCTTAAAATAGTTTTTATTATTATTTTATGATTTTTAAACACAAATTATTCGTGGTCATTTGTGGTCACTCGTGGTCACTCGTGTGTACTTTTAGACAAGATCTTGCCATTGCCATTGCCATTGCCATTGCCATTGCCATTGCCATTGCCATTGCCATTGGGTAGGGATAAAACGCTGAAACTGAATCGCGGAAACTGAAAGCGGAAACTGAAATGGGGATAAAACGCTGAAATGGGGGATAAAACGCTGAAATGGGGATAAAACGCTGAAATGGGGATAAAACGCTGAAATGGGGATAAAACGCTGAAATGGGGATAAAACGCTGAAATGGGGATAAAACGCTGAAATGGGGATAAAACGCTGAAATGGGGATAAAACGCTGAAATGGGGATAAAACGCTGAAATGGAGATAAAACGCTGAATTCGAAATTTCCATCTTTGGGCGTTGTTTCCTGTCATAGAGAAGTGTGGGTTCTACACGGCCAAAAACGCTGAGCCTGCTGTACTGCCTGTACTGTACTGTGCTGTACTGCCTATACAACAGGTTGCAACAATATTATGCTGACCTATTTTTTTACAGTTAACAACATTGAACAATATTATTCATCTTGAATGGGGTGCAACAACAATATACAAATGATGAATGTTTATTCGTGCAATGGTAAGAATATTTTCATGAGGTGAAAGATGGAATGTTCCATTCAACGAGGCGACAGCCGAGTATAATACTAAAATAGACTGATAGATTCGTATTAGAAGCATTTTGACGGATGCGATTTATCGAAAACACAAAGAGTGCAATGGAATAAAACGTATAGTACAATTGCACTCTCAAAGAGTGCAATGGAACGTATTCCATTGCACTCTTGCGAAATGGAATTTTCTATTCAATATCACGTGACCATAAACAGCCAATTAAACGATCAGAATTCAATAAGGTATTATATAATGCTGAACAATATTGTTAACATTCGTGAACAATAGGTGTAGCACAATATTGTGGCAACCTGTGTTTATCAACATTGCAACTACAAGTTCATGATTTTTACGCGTATATGCAGGAGAGGAAAAACTTTTTTCCGATTTAGACACGTGTCCTGACAATTCCCGGGAA